GGGCGGATCCGGGGGAGCAAAGGGGAGCTGAAGCCCCCTTCAGCAGAAAAAAAAAATGAAGAATTAGATGCTTTTTATTATTGTTTTCCGTTGTGTTGACGGAAGATCCGCCCTTGAACCGGCCATTATGAGACACCAAATTTACATTAAACATTGTGTAAACCATGCGTATGGTTTGATATTTATTAAATACTTTTTGGTTGAACAAGTTAGTATTTGTATTTTTAATGAATACCCAGATGACGTGACAGTCAAAAGTATAAAACTTGATATCTTCAAGACGCATCACTCAAATCATATAAAAATATATTATCATTCAGCTATTCACTCCATGTAGAATCAATACTAAAAGTATTGTCTCAGGCATTAGGGGCACTTTAAGGTTTTACTAGTGCGGCGACCAGCACAGAAACACGGTTTATGCACTAGGAATTAAATTAACTTTTTCAATCAACGCGGTAATTTTTCTCCCCCTCCCCCCTATATACACTTGCCTTCCCTAAATGTATCTTTATAGAATAAAACGCTTAGAAGTTGTTTTCCCAGAAGTTGTTTTCGATGTCGGCCTTCATATATGTTTGGATTGATTGAGCTTTATTACCATCATTTTTCAAAGTTTATTTACAAGATAATATTGAAACAGGTATTCAGAATAGCTAGACTAATCGAGCTGAGTAGCTGTTTGCGCTTACTTCTGTTTTCATTCTCGAATTCCCCCTGTTTTCAAAAAAAGAAACTAACCTGTCCTTGTAGTTGCTCCAGTGTCACAGCTCCACGCCCCGTGTTATTAGTCCATACCCACAGCAGTCCTGAACGCATGTAAGTACGGACGCTTATATTAACGTCTATCGAGTATGGCAGGGTGTAGTTCTCGTCTGGAACAAAAAGAATCAAATTTATGAGGAAAAATATCTTAAGATGGTTTTGTGGTGCGTCTGTGAAGGGCGGGCGGAGTATTTGGTAGAGCGATTGGTTTTCGTAGGGAAAAAAAGTTTGCGCCAAATTCATAACCGTACGGTCATTGGATGATTCATATATATATAATGATGCACTGATAGCCAATTGGTTACGACATGTTGTATACAGGCATCAAGAGTTCCGCGCTACTACTCTAAGGGTACAAACCTGAAGTGGGATCATGCATGGGTTGTAAAAATCATTATATTTTGTTATATTTTATTTGGGATTAGCTTATTTCTACTTTCTCTTGGATATTTAAAATGAAAACTGTGCATGATAAGAAAAAAACGATTAAAATATAGCAATTTTTATAAATCTCGCGTTCTGATTGAACAGGAGTGCGTGCTTTGTGACAGCACACAGCACGCTTGCGCGCACTTTCTTTGGGTCTTTCGTATCCAAAATTACGGCTATAGCTGTATTTTATTAAATGAATAAAAAACTTGACACAGCACGCTCGCGTGTTTTCCATTTCTTTGATACAGTAATGTGCTACACGTCTCCCATTCACAATAAAAGTTATATATGNAAATCACGGTCATGTCACGACATCCAATAGGAATGCTCAGTGACGGCAGTGTCACGGTCACGTCACGAGCAGCATACGTTAAACCAATTACATCGCRCAATATTTTTATCCAATCAGAAGATAGGACATAGCACGTTATTCAATAGGAATTTTCAGCGACACCGTGACGGTCACGCGGCACAGCACTATTTAAAAATTTTCACAATCGCTAGAAATTGTTTTATCCATACTTACTTGGTACTCCACCGACGTAAAACTTTCCAGTCAGCGAGAAATCTTCATAGACAGTAAACGTCTTCGTTGGGTGTTGGTCAACAGAGATCTTCACCGTGGATCCTATCCTCTCTACATGAACACTGTGGAACTTGTTATCGCACAGATCGTAAGAGGCATTGTACATGTCCTCAGAAGGAATAGATGGGTCTGTCCACACCATGGTGGTTTGGTTCGACTCTGATGTGAATTTCAGTACGATCTAAAAAAAGAATTAGAAATGCCCATAATTTAACTGATATATGACGATGGCTTTAAATTGCCCCTAATGCCTGAGACAATACTTTTAGTTTTGATATGAAGTGAATAGTTGAATGGTGAAATGTTTCTGCATTTGAGTGTTGCGCCTTTAAGTTATAAAGTTTTACACTTTTGGCTGTTAAATCATCGGGGTATTTGGGTGGATTTGGTTTAACATGTAATACTAAACACAGGCAAGGGCGGATCCGGGGGGACAAAGGGGAGCTGAAGCCCCCTTCAGCAGAAAAAAAACTGAAGAATTAGATGCTTTTTTTTATTGTTTTCCGTTGTGTTGACGGAAGAAACTCAATTAGCCCCCCCCCCCTAAACTCAATTAGCCCCCCCCTAACATTTTGGCTGGATCCGCCCTTGCACAGGCCATTATGAGACACCAAATTTACATTAAACATTGTGTATGGTTTGATATTTATTAAATACCTTTTGGTTGAACAAGTTAGTATTTGTATTTTTAATGAATACCCAGATGAGTCAAAAGTATAAACCTTGATATCTTCAAGACGCATCACTCAAATCATATGAAAATATTTTATCATTCAGCTATTCACTCCATGTAGAATCAATACTAAAAGTATTGTCTCAGGCATTAGGGGCACTAAGGTTTTTCTAGTGCGGTGACCAGAAGAAAAACACTGCTTATGCACTAGGAATTAAATCAATTTTTCAATCAACGCTGAAATTTTTTTCCTCCCCCCCTCTCCCCCCATAAGCACTTGCCTTCCCCAAATGTATCTTTAGAATAAAACACTTTTTTTCTCAGAAGTTGTTTTTGATGTCGGCCGTCATATATGTTTTTTGTAGTATATGTTGTCATTCTCAAATTTCCCCCTGTTTTTAAAAAAAGAAACTAACCTGTCCTTGTAGTTGCTCCAGTGTAACAGCTCCACGCCCCGTGTTATTAGTCCACACCCACAGCAATCCTGAACGCATGTAAGTACGGAAGCTTATATTAACGTTTATCGAGTACGGCAGGGTATAGTTCTCGTCTGGAACAAAAAAAACAAACAAATATAATGATGCATTGAATTGAAATGATGCATTGTTAAGCAATTGGTTACGACATGTCGTATATAGGCATCAAGAGTTCCGCGCTACAAAGGGGACAAACCTGAAGTGGGATCATGAATGGGTTATAAAAATCAATATATTTTGGTATATTTGATTTGGAATTGGCTTAACGCTACTTTCTCTTGAATATTCAAAATGAAACATGTGCATGATAAGAAAAATACAATTAAAATATAGCAATTTTTATAAATCTCGTGTTCTGATTGATCAGGAGTGCGTGCTTTGTGACAGCACACAGCACGCATACGCGCACTTTCTTTGGGTCTTTCGTATCCAAAATTACGGCTATAGTTGTATTTTATAAAAGAAATAAAAAACTTGACACAGCACGCTCGCGTGTTTTCCATTTCTTTGATACAGTAATGTGCTACACGTCTCCCATTCACAATAAAAGTTATATATGAATGTKAATACTTACAAAGTAAGATGTACGAAGRACCATMAAATGAGGCCTGTGGCTGGACATAYTTGTAACAGKATGYGTTGCTTATCTTGGTGTTATTCGCAGCATAGTCCGTCCTTTAAAACAAAGAAAAAAGGCTATTAATAAGGGTCTTACCTTTCTACTTCTGGCAACGTTTTTGATATCAAAATATAGAACTTGTATGATGATTTAAAGTGCATGATGATAGATATGTTGAGTACAGAACCATTCAACTGTTTTGTACGAAAAAGGATGCAAGTTGTCCGAGACAAGAGGCCGAGAGTTAATACGCTCTATGATTTTTAGGACATATAATAATAATAAAAATAATAAGTTTACCTTGGGTTAAGTTTCTTGGTTTGTGTYTCATTAGCAGAGCTGATTTCTAACGAACCCATACATCCCATAAAACTGATAGCTTCTCCATTCTTGTCTACAGCCTGACAGACACAAGTACAAATAACAATACGATTGACTTCGTTACTTATCGAGTTTCTCACTGAGAAGGGGAATAGCGCGCGCGTGCGTTTCGACGGGAAAGTTCCCGCTAAAACCACAGGAACTCCACAGGGCTTTTCTGTTATTGTGAGCGAAATTTGGTTTTCTTGACAGAATTAATGAACAAAAAGGTAAGTTCCACATAAAAAGAGGGTGATTGCTCCCATGTCTTCCCTACRCTACCGCTATTCAGAGTTCTCGCACAAATCTTTCCTTATTCACATTTCCGCAATAGGGGCCTTGCACCATCACATGATGGCAGCCATGACAGGAGGCACAACAATAGAGTCTTTTTCCCCTGGGAAACTGAATTCTTTCTCATGTAAATCAGATTAGTCCAGATTCAATTGTYCCTGCCTCCTGTCATGGCTCCCCTCACATGATGGTGCAACGCCTCTATAGATTATCATCACTAGGGTCACAAAATTAAATGTCTCTTACCTCGAGCATTGAGGTGTTGGTTCCTTTGGGGATCCCTCCCAGGAACAATGGARAGTTGAGAAGAAGAGATTTAGTGGCATCACCAACGCGTTTGTTGTTGTAGTCRCGTGTTAGGGGTACGAGTAGACCACCAAACTGATCGATCCTTAGGAAATGAGCCTGAAACAACAAAAAGACAGAAGATGACCATCTGGACTTACTTCAAGAGAAAAAAAAAAATTTATTTACTACTCAAGAAATCTTAACAATGATAAATAATAAACGCCAAAGATCTTCATAAGCGCAAAGAATATTAAGCCATGTTATAAACGAGTGGCAAAGAGATAAAGGAGTGAAATGGAAATGAATGAAGTAAAAATGGGATGACTGGGGAAAAAGAGAAGAACGGAAAACAATAAACGAAAAGCGAAGGGACGGGAAAGATAGAAAGAAAGGAAGATGGAAAACTTAAACGAAAGAAAGGGGAAGAAAAGAAAAAGAAAGGAAGCAAGGAAATGGGAGAAAACTAAAAGGAAGTGAAGGAAACGAAAGGGTTTCCTTACCTTGTACCAAACACCTCCGATGGAATATTTATTATGATAGCTCTSTACTCGTACCAGCCCAGCACCAGTATTAAACTTGAAGACAAGTCGGCCATTAACAAGCTCTATAGACAGGAAYTGTGTTGGTGTGACGAGGTTATCGGTAGCATAGAGTAACACCCCATTGGGTGATAGAGAGCGGAAGTTGAGAGTGATCACATGCCTAGGAAAATATAAACCATGTTGTTATACTACTATGGTTTATTATTAATTTTTATTATTATTAGTTTATTAATATTATTAAAGATTCCCTCTTATTACCCATTCCAGGGATTGCACTAGGATTTTCCAATCTAGGTCTTGGGATCTAAATAATTGTTCAAGCGTTGTGTTGTGGGTGTCAATCAATATTTAGGAAGCCCTTGTCAACACAAGTGAAGTGAGTCCTGGGACACATTTGGGACCCAAGCATTGTGTTGTGGGTGTCAATCAACATTTAAGAAGCCCTTGTCAACACAGGTAGAGTGAGTCCTGGGACACATTTGGATCCCAGGTATTGTGTTGTGGGTGTCAATCAATATTTAGGAAGCCCTTGTCAACACCAGTGAAGTGAGATGGGTCACAAGCATTGTGTTGTGGGTGCCAATCACCATTTAGGACGTTCTTGTCAACACAAGTGAAGTTAGTATCAAACTTTTGTAAATACATTTTTTGGTCCTGAGGATAAACTTCATCGCGATCCCTGTACAGGTTGCAGTAAAAAACATTTTGGATTGGGGGAGGGGGGTTACCCTGGAGAATACTAGAGCTAACGCCGCAACCTTTTGTAGAGTATCCTCCCATCCAGGCCCATCCTAGAGGAGTATAATGATAACCCTAAGATTAATCAAACTACAGACACAAGCTCCAGCTCTGACACATTCAAAGCGCTCCCCCAGCCCCCGTATAGACAATAGTCCCTTCTACTACCCCTGGGTTACTTTGTCAACTTACTGGTGTTCMATGTAATCCAATACGTTTCGTTCCAACCAAAATCCAACATACATTGGCTCAACTCCAAACTTCACTTGGTCTGGTTCACGTGATAGGGCTCGCTTAGGCAGACGGTCGCCACATGTAGGTGGGGGTAGGGTGGGTGGGGGAATAGTTGGTTTTGGTGTAGGAAGAGCAGTTCTTTCAGGGCTGCTCCCAGCGAGAGACACTTCCTTCGATTCACCAGAAAATATATTTTGTCTTCTGAAAATATCAATGTAATAAATCTCTTTTAGCTTGGGTGTATTGTTTACCCATTTTAGACCATGTGTCATTCCCTTGAGTATCATTTCTTTGTTTATTAGTTTCGTTTGAGAAGACACATGAATATGAATACAACTTAAACAAAGAATATTATTCTCAAGAGAATGACACGTGGTCTGAAATAGAAAAACGTTACACCCAAAGTAAAGAGGTCTAAGGATTTCTCTATCATGGACAAACTTTTTTTAGTAAATTCAAGCAAATGATAGGCAAGTGACTCACTTTCATTATTTTCTTTTGGTACAAGATTCGCAGAAAACGGACAGGTAATTAGTAAGAATAAATAGAAAACAATTATTGCTTTCAAAAGAATAAACCAAAAAATTGCGGAAGTGGGTTCCCTGTGTTTTTAGTACCTTTCATTAACGTCCACATATTCCATGGCTCCTACGAATGATGCTATCACTGGAACATTTAAAAGAGGAATGTTCGATGAAGATTTCACGCCCCCAATAAATAGTGTTTCATTGAGCTGAACAGGACCAGGAGCCACTTTGGGGACATCAACGGACAATCTTGCATTTGCACCGTCCAACACCAGTTGAAGGCTGAGAAAAGGAAAAGCAAGGTTATATGTAAAACTTGTTATATGTAAAACCGGTTATTTAGACCAACTTGTTCTACTGACTAAAAAGAGAAACGAGTTTGACCCGCTAAACAGGTTGTTCATACTTCATACATATTCTTTATTTATTTATTTCATTTTTATATTTTACAACCACCACTCCCCATACGGGGCTCTTCCGTGAGGTTCCCTCCACACGCACTACCACTACATTCTATATTTACAACATACAACACTCAACTCACATGTTGATTTCTATGGAGGGAGGATACCGGAGAACCCGGAGAAAACCCTCGTAGCATAGGAGAGAACGACACATCAAACAAACTCAATTCACATGTGGCGACCGCAGGGCCCGAACCACCGACCCGACCCGTTGGACTCACAGCGGTGAAAGTCGACGCGTTAGTCGCGAACGCCACCCATGCCACTCATTTATTACCCAGTTATTCTTACCCAGCTGCAAAGAATGTAATATCCACGGTGTGAAAAGCACCATCGTTCAATGTCTGCCCGGAGGTAGTTACTGTTTTTTCACTGTCTAGKTCTTTGGTGTTGATCAGAAACAAATTGCCATGAAAAAGAGCCAGATAGAAGTAGTGATTCTAAAAAGTTGATCAAATATTAGCAAGATTAATACACCTAAATCCAAAATGGCGCAAGGCCGGGTGGAACGAGGCATCCAGGGCCAAATTTACAGTATTTTCTTATAATTTGATGCCGCGAAATTGTTGTGTTCCTGAAAGTAAGAAGAAAGGAAAGACAGAACGAGTGAAAAAATGTGTATAATTTAGTTTGACAACATATTATTTCTTTGCATCTGGCCCTGGAAGCCTCGTTTTTATGTAACTCATTCGGCCGTACCCCATTTTGGACTTGGGTGTAAACGACCTCGTATCATCGCACTCAGAGACGGTGCTGTATGTCTGACATGGTCTGCGCATTTGCGCAAATAGGTTTGAATACAGGCGCGCACTATTGATACATGCAAGTAGTAAAGAGAATCTGCAGCGCACATCGAGTATATTTTGTTTAASGTTGGCATGGTAACGGCGCTAAATTGACMAACCACAGTGCGTGAAAATCGCCACTTATCCAATAGAAATGCTTGGTCACGGCACCATCACGGTAACGGCACGATTCATTCCACGGTGAGTTTTTCACAGTCATACGAAGTTCGCTCTAAGACGATACACGCGCATATACTAGTTATGAGAAAAGGTTTCATTTGCCTACACCGTCAGCGCACCGTGCAAAATCAATATTAACAAACAAGATAAATCATGTAGTTGTACATACTGTAGCAGCATCTCCACTATAGACCAACACGCCACTCGGGTTCAACGTCTTGAACTTAATTGACAAGTTGGACATGTTCCTGAAACCCGTGTGTACGCCAGCGTAGCCGTTACCGATGAATCGAATTGGTGGTTGAACCTACAACAAACAATAAAAAATAATATAATAATGATATCAATAACCCTTATGAATATTACGCTTCTCAGCTGATTTTGGCGCGAAAATAGTTTTGTCATGAAGTTTTGACGGTGTAGTGCAACATCAAAAATATTCAACAGGGCCCGGCGTTGTACGAAGCCTGGATAGCGCTATCCGGCGGATAAATCCTTATCCAGTGGATAAGTCGATGCTGTTTTCCAATAAATTTATCCACTGGATCAGATTTATCCGTCGGATAATGCTATTCAGGCTTCGTACAACCGGGCCCAGGAAGCAAGCATAATACTGACGACAACGGCAATACAGCGCAACATGACAACATGCACAATTCATTGACAAAACTTCGTAACTACTTCGAAACCAATGCCTGTCGCTGCAAATAGCGTAGTATAATAGCGTGGTATAGTACCATGAAAGGAAATCAGGGACCAAAAAGAGAGACCCTTCTCCCTTTTGACGAAGCTTAGGCTTATTGTCATAGTTGTGGATCTACTTACATAGCGCAGAATTCCACAAGARTTGACTTGATCGGATGTTTCTGTAAGGTTTTTGTCACTGATGGATCTGGACACTAAGGACCCATCGGTGCTGCTAAGGCTCACGTTGCGGATGTGACCGGCAAATGGGGTCTCAATCGGAGCTTCGAATGGCCTGAAAATATAAACAAATTGATGGGATAATGAAATAAAGTTTCTATTAAAGTGAGTGATGAACGACAAAATCGTTTTATTTAGGGGGAATGTACGAACKTCATCAAAAATGGCGGGTAATTGAAGTTAATGGGAAAGCCTTACGTCTCTCATCTAGTGCATCTTCAGTAGAAGTAATCGCGCGCACATTAAGAAAGATTTTCCCGTCCAAATCWAAAACCATGGTTCGTTTGCATACAAATTGGCGGCGTGCTTCCTTTCCCATGAGAATAAAAAAACAACAGACGCCATGTTGGCTGACAGGACAAAGTCCTGGGTTTTGGTTAATATTTACCTTTGAGGGTCTTTGCCACCAAATATCAAGTTTTGTCCATTTGGAAGGACAAGAGATGACCTTAGGGTCAAACTAGACACATCCATCTCCTGAGAAGCAACGTCCTTAATGACAAGGGTTGAGTTGATGAGCCCACGAGTCACATGGACCTCGTACCAGCGGCCATTACCATAGGTGGTCTTGTTGCTTACAAGGGTATGCAACGCAGAACCGTTCTTGAAATAGAACCCCACTCTACTGGAATTGAGGTAGACGCCATACACATAGCCCTGGAAAACAGCATGAAAATAAAGGAATGATGGCTTTGCCTACTCATGTGTATCTAAAGCCACGGGATTGCCATGGTTACTATCTAGTAACTATAGTTACGATGTTGCCATGGTTACTCCTTAATTACTTACCAGTTCACGGTGTAGTACATTCATGATTGCCCCAGTCTTCTGGAAAGTTCTGAACTGGAACATGATCTCAGACGTGGATGAAATATCAAACGTTCCCATGGACTGGATGAGGTATGTGTTGGAACTGCCGTAGAAACTGGTGCCGGGTATGACGTCATCAAAGCCTGACA